GCAGCACACAAAGGCTTCTGCGGTTTAGCCTGCAGTGCCACCACGTCCCCGTAATACATGAAGTAACTGAGACAAAATATAACTTTAGCAATTACATGCTCAATTTGCTTTTATAACCACACATTAATTGCATAGCCATGCATAGGACTGCACTGCAAAATTTAATTTTAAACTTAAATCTGTACAGGTTCCGTAGCTGGCACTTCAGAAAGCAAGCTCCTTGATGCAGGAAGAATGGCAACTGCCACACTTTGGTAGTGCACACATCAGTTGAGGTTTTTTTGTTTTGTTTTGTTTTGTTTTGGAGCAAATCAGGGAATCAAAGTGTGGGGCAGTAGCTGCATTTTCAGTGGTGGCAACAAAGCATCCAACATCTTCTTAGTTATATTCATCTGGTGTTGATTCTATTTATTGATTTATTAGATTTCTATCCCGCCCATCTAGACCAAGGGTCTAATCTGGACAGTTTACAAATTTAAAAACAATAAAACCAAAAACATATAAGTCCAAGGTGGCAAAGTATAAGTGATTAAAATTCTATCAGTATTTTGGTCCCTGACAATCGCATACAATGAGCAATTACGGCAGATGTTGTGTTGCACAGATTTTTTTAGAATTAAGTGCACCGGATAGGTTGTTTGCATCTTTTTATACAGTCAGTCACTTATTTGTGTGCTTGGTCCATGTGCGTTCGGCATCTCAAAGAGGAAAAGACGTGTGCTCTGTACAAAGATGGTTTGCACAAATTCAAAGATCTTGAGAAGAAAAAATAGTGCCCTTGTGTCTTCCTCTTGTCTGGAGGTAAGGAATTTGGTGATCCTTGAACTTTCCTTCTTGAGCTGTCTTGTTCACAGGTAAAGGTAAAGGTTCCCCTTGACATTTTTAGTCCAGTCGTGTCCAACTCTAGGGGGCGGTGCTCATCCCGTTTTCAAGCCGTAGAGCCAGCACTTGTCTGAAGACAGTTTCCGTTGTCACGTGGCCAGTGCGACTAGGGAACGCCGTTTTACCTTCCCACTGAGGTGGTACCTATTTATCTACTCGCATTCGCATGCTTTCGAGCTGCTAGGTTGGCGAGGAGCTGGGACAAGAGACAGGAGCTCACTCAGTCACATGGATTCGATCTTATGACTGCTGGTCTTCTGACCCTGCAGCACACAAAGGCTTCTGCGGTTTAGCCTGCAGTGCCACCACGTCCCCGTAATACATGAAGTAACTGAGACAAAATATAACTTTAGCAATTACATGCTCAATTTGCTTTTATAACCACACATTAATTGCATAGCCATGCATAGGACTGCACTGCAAAATTTAATTTTAAACTTAAATCTGTACAGGTTCCGTAGCTGGCACTTCAGAAAGCAAGCTCCTTGATGCAGGAAGAATGGCAACTGCCACACTTTGGTAGTGCACACATCAGTTGAGGTTTTTTTGTTTTGTTTTGTTTTGTTTTGGAGCAAATCAGGGAATCAAAGTGTGGGGCAGTATTTTGCTTTCTGCTACATTTCACAAGCACGTTTGGGCTATGGTGCTACTCCCAGCTTTAGCTTGTCAGGGATGAGCTCAGAACAGAGCAGCTGTTATGTCCCTAAATCTGGTGCCTTGAGGCAAAGCCCCAATTACCCGACCCCAGTTAGGCAACCTCCGTCACATGCTTCAAATGGCCATAAAGGATTAGGCTTTCTGGATGATTCAGCAACTGTTGACGCCATTTTGGTTGTGGAGGATCAAAACCTTGATACACGGGGTCTCAAAATAGTGCCTCCCAGAGCACTAAGAAGTTGTCAGCCCAGATTAAAAAGCCAGTCTTGAAAAGCACAAGGACAAAGGGTGAACAAATGATAGCTATCTTTCCTGGCATACATTAAATATATTATGCTGCCTTGGGCTCTTTGGAGGAAGGACAAGATAAAAATGTAATAAGAAATGCAGAGATTTGTTTTGCTACCTAGTCATGCATTGCCAAACATAACAGTGCTGATGCCGCCATGGAATCTGGAGTCCACACATCACCCCTCGATTTTGAATTAAGGAAATAATATTGGATCATTCACTGTTTATTTAGGCAGATATGCTTGGGAACTAAAATCACTTTTGTTCAGACTGTTTAATTGAGAATATTCTTTACTAAATGTAAGCCTTTTATTATGGTTTCAAGTAGGGATTTACAAACATCCATTCACAAAAATCCGGCAGCAAACTTATCTCCACCCATTAAATAAAATTATATTGCTTTTTAACCAGCATCCATAGTATTCTTGAAAGGATGTTTTTAAAAAACGGTTAACAGTAAAATAATACTGAGTTCTGAGAGTTACTATTCTGTGATCCCTTTATAGTCAATTAAGATAATATACACATAAACAAGAGGGGAAACACTGCACACTTCATTGATATCAAGCTGCCATCATTGAGTATCACTTGAGATGATAGTGAAGCAATTATGTAGAAGCCCCAAAGGGAAAGCTCAGAGGATCCTATTTTAACAGAGAAGGTCAGCTAAGAAGTTCTTGAAGCATGGAGAAACATGTAAACTTCAAAAAATCGTAAAAATGAACTGAAATGAAATCCTCAGTTGTCTCTACTTTGTTTGGTGTTTTCAGCTCCCTAATATCTCTGCTGGATGCTTCATCGTCTCCCATCATTGTCAGTGCTTCCATGATCACGAGTCTAACCAAATATTCCAGAATATGTCATCTCAGAGCCATCTTGGGGAATATTACAACTGGGTGGATGGCTGTGAATTTATAAAGCCTGCAGACCAGAGGTAAGGCTGGGCCCACACTAATTATCCCCAACCTGCCTGCTCTAATAACGTGCAACCAGACAGCAAAGAGATTCTCCTCCCCCTCCCCCCTTACTCTGAAATAACAAAAATAAATCCACTGAAAATCTATTTTTTACTGTTCTCCTGAAATTCTTTGGGATCAATCCATTCTCCTTGTCCTTCTGTTACCTTTTGGTCCATCTTTTGCCATCAATGCTTCAGTTGCCTTACCAACTTGTGGCATAATTCTTTTGGCATTTTAAAACCCAATAAGACTCCTCATCTCCAGCTCAGAGCAAGAGCTTTCAACCCAGGTCTGTATAATGTGTGCAAAATATCTGTAATGTTCTTTCTTTTTGAGAAGTACATACCCACACACAATTAGCACTGAAGGACCAACTGACATGAAGAAAGACTGAAAGAACCCATCCTGTGCTTCAGATGTTTAAACAAAGCTGTGATTGTCCTGGCTTTGAATGATTTGCGCAATTTGCCCAAATGCAAAGATTTATCAGTTTGACATAAAATAGGTAATATTTTTCCAAAACATCAGTGCTGCCAAAAATACCACCCGCATTCCTTACCATGAGGAGAAAAAGGTTGCTGTTTCTCATCTTCATGAGCCAGAACAAAACAAGTGAAGATTTATAACCCTTTGCTTGAATCTTTGAAGAACTGTTGTTAAAGTAGAAAATATAAAACAGGATGGAACCAATTTCTCATTCTCTAAAAGGTATTTGATATGTTCAGACCGGAAGGAAAAAGAGCTACATTAGTATTCCCTACACAAACATTCAGATAAAGCTTCCATCTCTTTTCTCCCAGATCTGTTTGAGCAGGGCTGGCTATTCATTTAGATTAGACCTGCCCTTTCTACATATGCAGCCCAAGAGAATGATTAACAGCTTGGAGATCCTTGATCTTTATGAGAGGTTCTTTCATGTCATCTTCTATCATAGGAATGGGGGGGTGTTGGTCCTCCCAGGAGATCTCTTCCCCGTTTAATGAAGCGAAGAAGCAAACTCTTGAGCTTCTGGACTGACATTTTCCTTGGTGAATGATTTTAAAATATTGTTTCTCTTTGTCCATCAGCACACTTTCCCTTTAGGGTAATTTCTGAGGCGAGATGATGAGTCTGGGGTATTCAAAGCTGCAGATTTTGCTATGCTTGCCTTAGATGTGGGTGGTAGGTATCCATCCCAGTGGCCTCATTTACATTAAAAACACTGTAATGAGTGAAATATTTAATCTTAAAAAGATTGTCAAAGGCATCTGAAATACAGGCAAAAAAGAGCAATGTAGGTTTTCCAGTCGCAAAGGTAGCAATCTGATACAGTGCAAACTTCTTTAAAGTTCAAAGATGTCAAAATATATTAATCAAAATATATGGCTTCTTTCTTACATGCTCAGCATGTGCTGGCACTAAGGAGAGACTTCACTACAACAAGAAATGCTCCTCATACTGCACATCCTAAGGAGAGCTTCTGATCATGCCATTCCAAATCAGACTGTGATCAAGCAGAAGACAACTGGCCAAATCAGCTGGTAAGGAGTCCAGTGAAAGAAGAAAGCCACCTTCTTCTTCCCATTCACTTTGAATGGGAATGTCAGGGGAATGCCAGGGGTCAGATATCTTCTGACTGTTTTTGTCTTCTTCATCTGACATAGAATAGTCTGGGCACTCCCCACATACATTCTCTTCTATTTAACTTCCCTTAATCCTGTCCTTCAATTCAGCAGAAGATAAAGTGTGGAAGTTACTATCCCCTGGGCCCCATTTCTGGTTATAAGGGCAGAAGAGGAAGGATCTGATCCAGCATTAGCACAGGAATATAGTTGCAGCCCTGTAATCTAGGATTTTGTGTTCCTTGCTCCCAGGTAAAAGCGGGATTAGCTCTTACAATAAGCAGAACTATGTTTTTAATTGTTACCTGGTCTCTATACTGCATGTGCAGGGAAGGGCTATACCCTGAATGGTTTGCTCAGGGTTAAAAATAAATAATGAAGATCGTGTCCTGCAGAAGGATTGGACTTGTCCCTAATAAATATCCTATTTTTTTAGGGGCAGGAAGCATCCAAAACATGTGGTCAATCTTCCATCTACAACGGTACTTTCCAAAATTGGTGTTGATGTTCCTTATGTTGAATTTATAGTTTGACCTCAAGATAGAAGAGAACCAGGTTGGTTGGATAGCTCAGTGGTTTAGGTATCTGGCTATGGAGGCAGAGTTTGGGAGTTTGATCCCCCACTGTGCCTCCTGTGAGCAGAGCCAATCTGTGTGGATTTATACAAACTATAGTGGTGCCTCGCATTATGATGTTAATTCATTCCAGCGAACTCGCTGTAGAACGAAAATGTCATAAAGCGAAATTTAAAAGCCCATAGAAACGCATCAAAACCCGTTTTATGCATTCCGATGGGCTGGAAACTCACCGTCCAGCGAAGATCCTCCATAGGGTGGCCATTTTCGCTGCCTGTGCAGCGAGGAATCGGTCCCAGAAAACAGCGGGGGGGGGGATTTTGTTTTGCTGGTGGCCATTTTGAAACCGCTGATCAGCTGTCCGAAAATCATCATTTTGCGAAGAATTGGTTCCCGAAGCAGGGAACTAATCATCGCAAAACAAAATACCCCCATAGAAAACATTGTAAAGCAATCGCAAAAGCAATCACAAAAAGTTCATCGTAATGCGGTTTCATCGTTAAACGAAGCAATTGTAAAGCGAGGCACCACTGTACATAGTTCCAGGGTGCCCCCAGAAGAAGAGAAAGGCAAACCATTTCTGTGCATTCACTATCTAGAAAACCACAGAAAGGGTCGTCATAAGTCAAAATCAGCTTGACAGTATGCAATTTTATTATTATTTAAGTGAGAGATTAAGTGTGAATTAATACTAGAAGAAAAGGCTGGTAAAAGTGAACCTATCATTTGCCATCTGCTATATTTTAACAGTGCTATTAACTTAGTACATAAGTGACTCAAATACAAGGACTATGATGGATGATATTGCCATAGATGTAACATATTAGCACAATCATTATGGGGTATAATTATTTTATTGGTCATGGTAAAGTAGGTAGGGCTGCTCCTTTGGGACTGTCATCTGGTGAAGGAATATGTTTGTCCACTATTTATTATTATTTTCCCAATAATTTCCTTTTCTAGATTTACCTGTCAAGTGTAAATCCACAAAGGATAGTTTAGTAAGTTTTAAATCATTTAATTTTACTCCCTAAACTAGTTAATTTGGATTGAATTTTAATGGAGATTCTGAATTGCTTTGGCAACCAATGTGGAGTGTGTAGAAATAGGGGTAAAGCTATACATTCTCTTCTTCCTAAGTAATCTGATTGTCTTGCAAAAACGATTTGCAACATGTGATATATAAATATGTGTTCAAAAGACTTATGGCAACATTTTGTACCCACAGGGTAGCTTGAAGGACCAATTACTATGGATGTTTGCCACTGAAAATACGTCATTATGAACCATCTGTGCATCGTCTTCAAGATGATCCTCCATCCTGTCAACTAGAACTAATAAAAATCCAATATTCTCTCACAGGATTGTCCTTGAATAAATTATAGGTAATACATTCCACGATGGATGTATTGGAATGCAAGCATATTTGATAATCAAAACACCTGCTGGTTGAAGACCAAAGGTAAGGGTATCTCATTGTGACTCATGCTTTAGAAAGCCAGGAAATCTGATGTTAAGACTGATGCCATAAGATTTGTGCCCCATGGTTGGCTGTGATGTTCTGTAATGACATAAACCATGGTAGCTGACAATTGACCCTCCATCCACCCATGCTTTGCTGTGTCTTTCAAATCCACTTGGTAAACATAAAATATCTAGAACTAGCAAATACTTTCCACCCTTTCTGATCTTGTACTGCCTTATGAAACATCCAAGCCATACCTGTTTCTTGCTTACATCAGTACTGACAGTCTCAAGTTCAATAGGGAGATAAGGGAATCTCCTTAATGCAATAAAATGAGAGGGGTGCTGCTGACAATGGCCAAAATCCTGTTGCTTAGCATAGTAAGTCACACTAGAGTAGGGCCATTGAATCACTGAAGATTCGATGAGTCACCTCCTCCATAAGGTCAATGATTTAGCATAGTGTAGAGTAGGTCCTTGTGGATTAATAAAAATTATGGAGGATTCAACTCATGAAATTCCCCGATTCAATGGACCTACTCTACTGTGGCTTACCATGCTAAGATTTCAACCAAGGACTGAAACGAGTAAACAATCCATTATGGGTAAATCCTATATGATTTTCATAGCAATTGCCTTTTTGCTTTATTCCCAAACAGCAAAGGCCCCCTCTTGCTCAAAGATCCCTGCACGGACCCATCTGAATTTTTTCAAGTAGTCAGATGTAACTGAGGACCGGGCTTTTCCACCTTTATTATTTCCACTTCTTAGGAGGCACCATTATTATTATAAGTTTTGATCAGATCCCCCAAGAACCAAAAATGTTCTTTTCAAACAAACAAACCTTAGGATTTCTAATGCAGCGTTAAGGCCCACTGTTGGTGTGAAAAATGTTATTGCCCCAACCTGAAAGATGAAACCCAGTGCCTGAAAGAAGAAGGACAATTGACCCCAGGACAAAACAGGAATCCATTAGTGGGCCAATAGCCACACCTGGCAATTATAGCACCAAGATTTCCATGAATCAAATTTCTTATATGTTACAAAGTTAGTAACAGGTGAGAACTGATTTCTAACAAGGGTGGCCTTACCAGCTCACTAGAACAGAAATCCATCCACTTATTCCCACACTGCTAAATAACACACTGCTAAGTAATTTGAGTCCCTCAGGGCCCCAATGGGTCTCTATAACCTGAGGCCTTCTTAAGTATTACACCTAAAGAGGAAAATCTCAAGCCAGAAACTTCTCTCTCTCTCTCTCTCTCTCACTCACACACACACACACACAGAGAGAGAGAGAGAGAGAGAGAGAGAGAGAGAGAGAGAGAGAGAGAGAGAGAGAGAGAGAGAGAGAGAGAGAGAGAGAGAGAGAGAGAGAGAGAGAGAGAGAGAGAGAGAGAGAGAGAGAGAGAGAGAGAGAGAGAGAGAGAGAGAGAGAGAGAGAGAGAGAGAGAGAGAGAGAGAGAGAGAGAGAGAGAGAGAGAGAGAGAGAGAGAGAGAGAGAGAGAGAGAGAGAGAGAGAGAGAGAGAGAGAGAGAGAGAGAGAGAGAGAGAGAGAGAGAGAGAGAGAGAGAGCGCACGTGCACACCAGGGAGCTGCCAATGAATTCAGCACTCCCTAAGCCTCCCTTCCATGAGCCACTTGTTCCATCCCCTTAACAGGCTTCAAGTTGCCCATCCAGCAAGGATGATACTCAGCCCCACCGGAAGCTCAAATCCGTAACAGAAACTTGACTGAAAATGTTTTGTGTCTTGGCCACGGGTGTTGCTCTACAATCATCCTACAAAGGCTGCCAGCCTGACTGGACTAATTGCCTTTTGAAGAAGGAAGTCACATTCTCCTGAGGTACTTCAAGGTACTCTTTCATTCTCCACTGTCCCTACCTTCATCTTCTGAGGTAGGGCATGAACACACGTACCCCATTTCAGGCTATGAATTAAGCTGACCCCAAACTATTCTGAAACATTTGAAATGTATGACACAGATAGAAAACCACGTCTTCAAGTAGTCAGATGTAACTGAGGACTGGGCTTTTCCACCTTTATTACTTCCACAGATAATGCTTGCCTCCATATTATTGGATTTTGCAACCACTAATTATTTTTTTCTATTGTTTGACGAATTCCATGTGCCTATAGTCAGACACTAGCTAACATGTACAAAATACTTATTATTTCTGCACTTTCTTCTTGTTATTAAAAATAAATGACATTTTGTGTTTAGTCTACCTTCTTGTTCATAAAAATTCACTGTGCTATCAGATTCCTAATCTAATGGCAGGATCACAGGTTCTTGTTGTTTTAATGCAATTTCCTCCAGATTTCCAAGCACAGTCATGTAGTGTGGTTTCCTATTTGTCATTCAGATTGTACACTGTGGTATTGTACCAGGATAATAAAATGTAAAATTGCTTGCTATTTACAAAGCTGCTGCAATTTGTAAGGATGAATGCACTGGATTCTTAGCAGTTGTATCAGTACTTGTTTGATATGTTTGTAATGATACAAGGCTGTGGGGAAACAGCAACAGGAAAACAATCCCAAAACAAATACTTCAGGCTTTGAAGGGGCCTTGGGTGCATTCAGATGGGCATTTAGCCTGCTATTTGATCTGCTGTGGGAAAGAGTTGCTTCACTTCTTTTTCCAGTGATCACGTGATATAATTGAATGGAATCGCCCCCCAGGGTATTCCTGCCCACAGGGTTCTGAGCTCCTGTCAGAGGATTCCACTTTTTTTTGGCTCTGGCTCATTTCCAGCCTGTGTAATCAATGGGAATGGACCAAAAGCAAGTCTTCTGGCTCTTAGGATTTCTTCTGGTTGAAATTTCTGATATTGTGAAGTGACTTAATAAGCAAGGAGATATATATATATACTGTATATTGCTTTATCTTAAAGGATCAATCGAGAAACTGGCCACAGTGTTGTAGCATCAGCGACTGTCTACTGCAATTTTTTTTTTAAAATCTATCTATCTATCTATCTATCTATCTATCTATCTATCTATCTATCTATAGTATATTGCTTTGTCTTAAAGGATCAATCGAGGAACTGGCCACAGTGTTGTAGCATATCAGCGATTGTCTACTGCAATTCTTTTTTTTTAAAATCACTTCCCCATACCATCTGCCAAGGAGCAGAGGAAGCATGCAAATTGCCAATATCATGAAGTGGCTCCCTTACTAAGCCACTTCAGGATATCAGAAATTTAAACCAGAAGGAGCCAAACCAAACAGGGTCACTTGAGCTCCAAGATGCTATTTAGATGCAAAGATTGTACCAAATGGCACCTCATACAGTGGGGTCTTGACTTGAGAACTTAATCCGTATTGGAAGGCGGTTCTCAACTCAAAAAGTCTGTAAGTCAAGCCGTCTGTAAGTCAAGGGTCCACTGTACCTTTAACCGGCCCTAAGTGACCTTATTAGGCTGTAGTTCTATGTACTTTTGGTTTTGAAATCTGAAATGGTCATTTTTCAACAAGAATATGATCTGAACCAAAGCAATTCAGAAGTCATGTCCACTTTATTCAGGGGACTTTTCTTCCAGGTAAGTGTGCATGAGATTGCAAACCACCTAAATTCTAACTGAATAAAGTTCTCTAGACACTGGAGTGAAATAGCAGCAGATAAGTGAATCCACTTTCTGATCTAGTGGATAGGCAGGTCCTACTGGATATGGTATTTTCTGGGTGCTATGCCACAGGACCTGCATGAATGACTAGGAGGATTTGGCTTAGATTGTTTTCTTATTCCAGATAGTAGATTGTTCAATTACTGCAATTAAAAAGAAGTCACATTTAATCAGTGTGTTTGATTACATTTCAACTGGTCAGCAATTTTTATTTTTTAGATTTGATGGACGCAGGACTTTTGCATGCTATTGGCACCTCAGTTTAAGAACCTACATTACAAATAATCTGAACCTAAATGAGAAAATTCTGTAAGTGCTGCTTGTGTGTAATTGTCCCAACAGTTTTCTCACTTCTCACAGTTTGCAAATTAGCTTGTTTTGTTTTGTGTTTGGCTTTCTTAAGCTTGCTTCAGTCATAACACTTAAACACTAATATACCTTGGCTTTATGAGTTACTTCTAACGTATTGTTTGGTCTGTATTTCCTGACCAATGCAACCTTTTAAGTCTTCACCTCCTTCAACCTTATCTTGGCCCAAAGTCTGAAAGTCTCTAAAATCTTTTTTTTTAAGGTTTTGTTCCAGAAATGTTATACACATTTTTGCACCATCTGTTCTGTTGCCACCTCACATAATTTTCATATGTTGTGTATCTCTTCAAGTTATTTTTACCATCGGAATGCCAAACTGGGCAAAAAGTGTGAAAGCTGTACCTTCAAACCTTCACACCAATCAGGTACAAAATTCACTTTTGGGCTCTTCTTTTAAATGTGACCAATTTGATTTTTTTTAAAAAATAGTAAACTGCAGGAGAACCTTTAACCACAAATTCTAAGAGGGTGTTTGGCTTCATTAAAGATGCAAAAGTGTAAAATTTGCAGAGGTTGCCATGAAATTCAGTTTTTCAAAATTTTTTTCCACTTTGTTTCATGGTCTATGTAGTATTTTGGTAGCAAACTTGATTTAAAAAGGGAAGAGACACTAGAGATCATATTGCAAATATACGTTGACTATTGGACCATATCAAAGAATTTTAGAGGAAAATCAGTTTGTACTTTCCAGATTACAGTAAAACATTTGACTATGTAGGCCAGGGAAAACTATGGATTGTTTAAAAGAAATAGGTTGTGACAACTTCTGACTGTTTTGATGTACAATCTCTTGCTTTGAACAAGGGGTTGCACTTTGGACAGACTATGAAGAAAGAAAATGACTTCCAGTTGGTAAAGATATTAGACAAAGATACGTATTCTGTCTCTC